GCTATGACTCCATTTTCCTTGTAGTGATTATAATATATATATATATATATTTATATATGATATTTTATATTAATATATATATATTATTATATAGTATTAATTATATATTATTATATAATATAATATATATATTATATATATATTTAATATAATAGGGTTCATGAATTACCGACATCGAAAATTCCAACCTGGAAAATCCCGGGTTGACCCCGACCCGATTTAAAAAGGTCGGAGTTCGGTTCCAAGAAATCATCGATCTCGCATTTAAAAAAACTGCGGTTGTTGTTGACCGGCAGGTTGCCGTGTTCAACCCGTTTAATTCCGAAAAATTTTTGGATCCCGCCTGCCTGCTGCCCGCCGCGCAGTCTGCCTGCCGCGCTGCCGCCTCGCGCGCGACCGCGCCCGCGCTGTCCCGCTCGCGTCTGCCCGCCGCGCTCGTGTCCCCCGCCGTCCGCCACCGGCCACCCAAACCGGGTCGGGTCCGGGTTCGATTTTCCGACCCGTTTGTCTACCCGGGTCGGGTTAGGGTTGACCCGTTTGAACCCGGGTCAGTTCCGGGTTCGACTCGAACCCGACCCGTAACCCGAAATTGACACCCATATATATATATATGATACGTCATCATAAAATTATCTTGATCGGGCACGAGTCTCGAGGCAAAAATAATGTTGGAAACTTCAAAAATTAAATCTGGGATCATCTGAACTCTGATTTCAGCAAATTTATAGTCAAGCTGATCTTCTCGGAAATACGTACCCAACGACACAAAATTCTACTCAATCCGAGCCCAAATGAGTACAAATCAAGGACTCGAAGCGCTGTTGGAAAGTTTGTACCACAATTTGAGTTACCAAACGGTTTCCGAATTTGACGAGCTTATAGTCAAATCGAGCGGCTCGACGAGACGAATCCAACGAGCCCAAGATTGCCAAATTCCAAAGTCATTAAAAAATTCAAATGCCTGATAAACGGTCCATGATCGAATGATTCAATGTCAGCCGTCCATCTGAACCACTCCATATTTGCCCCTGATCCATCATCTGTTTACAGGCCATGCCACACCAAAAAATCTATAAATAGACCCCTCATTTCTCTTAAGAGAGGACCCAAGCAAGAAGAAGAGAAGAAGTAGAGAAAAAACTAATAGGAGGGAATAATTCCTCCTTGACCACCGCCGGAGTTCTGCTCGACGTCCGAGTGACGCCGAAATTCTGCTGGAAGTCTGAGTGAGACGCCGGAATTCTGCCAGACGCCCGAGTGACGCCAGAATTCTGCCCAAGTGACTCCAAAATTCGGCCTAACGCCAAAGTGACGCCAGAATTCTGCCCGACGCCCAAGTGACGCTGGAACTCTGCCTAATTTCCAACTGACATCGGAATTCTAAGTGATTTTGAATTCGTCTCGAATACATAACTTGTATGTAATCGGATTTCAATCCAAAAGTGAAGCATTGTAATTTGATCGTCCTAAATTTTAAGGACGAGTCAGCCCCTTGTACTTCAAACAAACATTATTACAAACTCTTTCAACTAGGCGTGGTCTCGTGGTTTTTTCCCTTTCAGGGTTTTCCACGTAAAAATCCTAGTGTTCTTTTTCTCTCCTGTTTGTGTGTTGGATATCCGTACAACGCTGAGGCGAAAATTTTCTAACTCTATCGCCGCGTATATTCTAGCCCGCAACAATATATATATAATTTAGCAAAATTTACAAAATAAATCAATAATTTTCTTAGTTGTTTAATCAAATATATTTTTTTATTAAAACGTAATTATTTATGTAACTGCAAAATTAACTTATAATTTTACTTTCTTTAGAATAATTGAAAGTTTTAAATGCAAACCCAAATATTAATTAGAATATAATATTAATTAAAATTTATATTCAAATCTATTAAATTATTTAGAAAAAAAGAAGTTAAAAAAATGCCACGTAAATTAAACATATCTTGAGTAAAACATTTCTCAAAGCCCAGCTACCCTCAATTCCATTCAAGAGTTAGAGTCAAACTTGAGAGAGCATAGATATGACAAAAGTAGAAGACCACGTGAAATATCCATGGTAGCTGTGGCTGCGTGCCATCTACCAAGCTATATTTTCCTCTTCCATTCATGCATTTATAAAGCCATCCATCGCCCCATTTGAAAACCAGGCCAAGCACATAAGCTTGTTCTTCGATCACATCCTATCACTTGATCAATTCTAGCAGATAAGGACTGACTTGTCCCACCTTCCTCTAAAGCAAAACACAGAAACTTCTCACCATGCCGAGCCTTGAATCCATCAAGAAGGCACCAAGAGCCGACGGCTTCGCCTCCATCTTGGCCATCGGGAGGGCGAATCCTGAAAACTTCATTGAACAGAGCGCTTATCCAGACTTGTTTTTCCGTATCACCAACAGCGAGCACTTGGTCGACCTCAAAAATAAATTCAAACGCATATGTAAGCATCTCAATTCTCTTTAGTATATTCTAATATAATATATGATCTCCTTAATTGCACAGCAATCAAATGGGCTAGAATAAATAAATTCATCTTCATTTGCAGGTGATAAAACAGCAATTAGAAAGCGCCATTTTGTTTGGACCGAGGAGTTTATCACTGCAAACCCTTGCTTCAGCACTTTCATGGATAAATCTTTGAATATAAGGCAAGAGGTCGCAATAAGGGAGATACCGAAGCTGGGCGCGGAGGCAGCAACCAAGGCAATTCAGGAGTGGGGGCAACCTAAGTCCCGCATCACTCACCTCATATTCTGCACCACGAGCGGCATGGACTTACCTGGCGCTGACTATCAGCTAACCCAAATTCTTGGCCTTAACCCAAATGTCGAGCGTGTCATGCTCTATCAGCAGGGTTGTTTCGCTGGCGGAACCACGATCCGTCTCGCTAAGTGCCTTGCCGAGAGCCGCAAGGGCGCACGCGTTCTTGTGGTTTGTGCGGAGACCACCACTGTGCTATTTCGTGGACCGTCTGAGGAGCACCAGGATGACCTTGTTACTCAAGCTTTATTTGCTGATGGTGCATCTGCGCTTATAGTGGGTGCCGATCCAGATGAGGCGGCTGACGAGCACGCCAGCTTCGTCATAGTCTCTACATCTCAAGTCTTATTGCCGGACTCTGCAGGTGCTATTGGAGGCCATGTAAGTGAGGGAGGTCTCTTAGCCACGCTTCATAGAGATGTCCCGCAAATTGTTTCCAAAAATGTTGGGAAGTGTTTGGAAGAGGCATTCACCCCACTTGGTATTTCCGATTGGAACTCAATCTTCTGGGTTCCGCATCCAGGAGGTCGAGCCATTCTTGATCAGGTGGAGGAGAGTGTGGGGCTAAAGCCAGAGAAGCTGTTTATTTCAAGGCATGTGCTTGCAGAGTACGGTAATATGTCAAGTGTCTGTGTGCACTTTGCTCTTGATGAAATGCGCAAAAGGTCTGCGAAAGAAGGCAAGGCTACAACAGGCGAAGGCCTTGAGTGGGGTGTGCTTTTTGGCTTCGGGCCGGGCGTTACCGTTGAAACCGTCATCCTCCGCAGTGTTCCAATTTAATACTAAATATTTTTGTGCAAAAGTGTTCTTAAATGCTTGTAATCCAGTGTTCCTCTTATTTGTAAGGCTTGCAGCCCTTTTTTATTTTGGCATTTTATTTTTCTTTAGCAACATATATGTTAAAACTTGTGCATGAAGAACAAGTATTATGAATATGTTTATGGAGTTTCATACAACTTTATTTTACTAAATTTGATTCTAATGTATGATTTAGGATAAATAATTTTCTGAGACTTTGAATCCTTTAAAAAAAACAAATATTATTTGTTAAAAAAATTATATTCATAATTATTAAATTATTTATAACTTAAATTTTAAATACAATTGAAAAATGCCACATAGGAAAAATTGAGCAAAGAGTTTCTATAAGAAAAATCAACTAAGCAAGCCTATAATAAATTTTGAACAGAACATTAAGCAAATATAAGTTAAGCATAAAAATATAACAATAGGCTGAATGTCCTATGAAAGGAGGGCACGCGCTGCTCGCCTGCCCACACGCTTGCCTACATGGCTCTAGTTGGCGCTAGTTTATTGTGCCAACTGCAGCCGTCTGATTGCTAGCTGTGCACCGGTTCTCGATCTTCTCGTCTCCTTGTTTGTAGAAGTTGGAGCCACCACACACTTGCTCCCCCTTTCAATCGGCATGCTACGTATTTAACTTATTTCTTCGGATGAATTTCCATGCATTCGAAGAAGGTCTCTACCGCTCATTCCCAATCCAAAAAACCGATTGCAAGCTGCACACCAGTTCTCGACCTTCTCGTCTCCTTGTTTGTAGAAGTTGGAGCTACCACGCACTTGCTCCCCACTTTTAATCGGCATGCTACGTATTTAACTTATTTTTTTGAATGAATTTCCATGCATTCGAAGGTCTCTACCGCTCGTTCTCAATTCAGATAATCTTCAATGTGCAGGCGACCGTCAAAATAAGGAATACCCATCTTCACCTTAAATTCTCCATGTTCTCTGTGTGGGCATCCAACCAGTCGTCTTGGGGTCGCGTAATAGTGATGGCGTTGATCATCTATATATAAGAGTCTCTATTGTAATAACATACATAGTAAACTTGGAAATACAAATAAAAAGGTTTGACTAAACTGAAAAGGAATACGAACGGTTATAAAGGTAGTGGAGTAAGCTAATGAGTAGGTCCATTCATGGAACGAGTATTCCACTTGGATTGTAGCCAACCAACAGAGCAAAACAAGCTGCATAGGTGATTTCTCTTTATGGCTTTGTTTGTTTTAGCATTTTTTTGCCTTTTCTATTTGGAAACGGAGGAATTTTTTTGTTGTTGTTGTTTGGTTCGTCAAATCACGTTTCCAATAAATCTTTTTTTTATTTTTATTTTTCTACAGTTTTGAGAAAGCTTTTTATATATGCTTCTCCGTTAAAAAATTTCATTTTCTGAACTAATGTTTTTAAAAACCGTCTTTTACAGAAGCACAAAAAAAACAAACGAAGCCTATATCACATGAGATGTGTGGTCGAGAAAAGAGCTGGGACTGGTCTACCCAACAAGCAATAATAAATATAACTTGGAGTAATTAAGAGCCTAAACCTGCATGAATTCAATTAAATTTAATACCGTTGTCACGACATGACAACATTACTTGATGCGATTTTAATTTGTTCGTTCAATTACTTCTCAGAATTTGTCTAATCATCACTTAAAATCATAGAGAGAAAATTTTTATAATTTCATATCTCATGAACCCAAAAAAAAAAAAAAAACAAAATCAATATGAGCTACAATTTCTCAAAAACAAAAACAAAACCTAAAAAGTAAACGCTGCATCTCACCAGCATTCTTGAATTTTGAACGGCGTCCAGCTGATACAGGTAGGAAATCAACATCTCCAGCACGACGGAGCTTCTAGGTTTAAAATTTACGTATGCAGATATGTATGAATTCCCAATCAAGTTAGCTTAAATTAAAATAATAAAAAAAAAGTCGTATATATGCACTATGCATGAGGGTCGTGCAAATGAAAATAATAATAATAATAATAATTGCAAGGGCGCAGCCACTTTAAGTTGATGACAGCCCAATCTCTCAAACTGATGACCGTTCGTAATAATGCTTTGGGGACTTTTGTTCTTTCCAAACTGTACAATTTATATACAGTTGGGGGGAAAGGTTATCCAAAGAGAGCTGCAATGAGCCAATGACGGGCAATAGGAAATCATTCATTATACGTTGGATGGACTTCCATCCACATATCAATCGTTCAAAACATCTATCCGCACAAATTTGCAACCGCTATCCCTCGACGATCTCTACACCTTACTTTGCAGCGAGGAATTAAACCTCGCACATGAAGCCGCTCGCGAGCTCCACTCGCTTCAGATATCCGGTAGCTCCACCGCTCTTACCGCCCAACGTGGACGTGGCCGAGGAAGATCGAACTCCTCCCGTGACCGTTCCCATTACAACAACAGAAACTCCTCTTTTAACAACAGAGGAGGTCGACCACCTCGTCCCACTGTCACGTGTCAAATCTGCGGCAAGAACGGTCATTCGGCAGTCAAGTGTTGGCATCGTCACGACGACCAATACGATGCCGAACAACCCAACACGGCTCTCTTCACGTCACCAGCCCCCTCGCCACCAACAGAGTGGTATCTTGATAGTGGAGCATCCTCCCATCTCACCTCAGATTCATCACAACTTCACAACCCCCATCCTTACACGGGATCTACTCAAGTAACCATAGGAAACGGTCAGCAGCTTCCTATTCATCACACCGGCAAAGGTCTGTTACCCACCCCGCAAGGTAATCTCCAACTTTCACAATTAAATTTCGTCCCTAATCTTTCTTTTAATTTACTATCCGTTCATCAACTCACTAACGACAATAATTGTAATATCACCTTTTCCTCGCATGGCTATGTCATCAAGGATCAGACGAACAACACAACTCTTCTAACGGGTCCGTGTATTAACGGGCTGTACCCCCTTCGTCCATCCAAGAACAAGAATGAAGCAACGCCACAGCTAGCTCTTATATCCGTCCAGACCGTCCACAATCTCTGGCACCGGCGCCTCGGTCATCCCTCGTCGGCGATCTTGTCTCAATTAGGGAAGCAATATTCTCATATCTGTAACAAATCTTTTTCCACTAATTGCAATTCTTGTAGAATGGCCAAGAGCCATCGTTTGCCCTTTCAACGATCTGTTAATAATAGTTCCTTTCCTTTCGAATTAGTTCACTCTGATGTCTGGGGCCCTGCCCAAATTATTTCTAACTATGGCTTTAGATATTATGTTAGCTTCATAGACGATTACTCCAAATATACATGGATCTATCCTCTACTGCAAAAGTCTGAAGTCTTCACAAAATTTCTTGAATTCAAGAAGATGGTCGAAGTACAATTTCAAGCTCAAATTCGGAAGATTCGGACAGACGGCGGAGGCGAGTTCATCAACAACAAATTCAAGACTTATCTCGCCACACAAGGTATACTTCATCAGTTTACTTGCCCCTACACGCCGTCTCAAAATGGCGTCGCCGAGCGCAAGCACCGCCACATCACCGAAACTACCCGGACCTTGCTCATTGAAGCCTCTCTCCCTACCTACCTTTGGGTAGATACTCTTCTCACCGCCGTCTACCTCATCAACAAACTTCCGTCCCCAAACACGCACAATAAATCTCCTCATGAAATTTTGTACCAAGAACTACCGAATTATCAGAACTTAAAGGTTTTTGGCTCACTTTGTTATCCTTGGCTCAAGCCGTATTCCAAACACAAATTCTCTCCCCTTTCCCATCCGTGCGTCTTCATCGGCTATGCCCCTCTTCAGAAAGGGTATCGTTGTCTTGATACTCAAAATAACAAAGTTTACACTTCCCGCCACGTTATATTTAACGAACAAATTTTTCCCTTCAAAAATCACATCCCTCCAAATTCTTCTAATCCAAACCCTTTACCTTACATACCTCCGCTCCTTCTTGTTCCCGCTAACTGCCTACCTCGGAACATTAATTCACCTATTCCTGTTACTGCCAAACCTACCTCCATAATTCAGCTCAACACCAGAACTTCCCAGCCTACGGTTCCTACCACAGCGGCTACCATTCCTTGCAGCAGCCAATCCACTCTTCAGCCTATCACTCATCCTATGGCTACTAGATCTAAGACCGGTCATTCCAAACCCAAGAAAATCTTTAATCTCTCTCACATCCTTAACGACTCTGAACCCACTAATTATACTCAAGCCAGCAAAAATGAGCAATGGCGTGCAGCTATGTCACAAGAATTTCAAGCCTTACAACTGCAAGGAACCTGGAATCTCGTACCTCGCCATCCATCTCAAAACGTACTTGGTTGCAAATGGACTTACAGAACTAAGCTCAAATCGGACGGCTCGGTCGCACGGTATAAAGCTCGACTCGTTGCTAAAGGATTCAACCAAGAACACGGCATTGATTACTTAGAAACGTTCAGCCCCGTCGTAAAAATTCCAACCGTCCGAGTCTTCATCCTCATCGCTCTCCACTTCAAATGGGCTATTCACCAACTTGATATTTCGAACGCTTTCTTGCACGGCCAATTGTCCGAAACGGTCTACATGGAACAGCCACCTGGATTTCAAGACGCTCTCCATCCAACATACGTGTGCAAGCTAAACAAAGCTCTCTATGGATTGAAGCAATCTCCACGCGAATGGTACGCTACTCTTTCTCATCACCTTCAATCCTTCGGCTTTACTATTAGCCACGCTGACCCATCTCTTTTCATCTACAAATCGGGACCCAACAAACTCTACATTCTTATATATGTCGATGATATTCTCCTCACCGGCAATTCGACGCCGGAGATCAACCGCCTCCTAAACAGCCTCCAAGACAAGTTTCAAATGCGGAATTTGGGACCACTGGCCAACTTCCTCGGCATACAAACCACCAACACCTCTTACGGTGTAATTCTTCACCAACAGCAATATGCCAAAAGAATTCTGGAGAAGGCGGGAATGCAGAATTCTAAACCGGTGGCAACTCCTATTGCTTGCAAAACCGGAAACTTCACCAACACTAGCACCGAGTTTGCCAATCCTCATCTCTATCGGCAACTCATTGGATCGCTGCAATATCTCACTTTGACTCGACCGGATATTCAGTTCGCCGTGCAACAATTGAGCCAATATATGCAAGCTCCTCTCAACAGCAACTTCGACGATCTT